CCCTATTCTAGTGTCTACCCAGATCTGACTGGGTAATTTCGTCCCACCCGTCCTTAGTATTTGGCAGCAAGACAGTACATGTTTTTAGACTCTGACTACATAATCATAGGAATCCTTTCATTTCAGGTTAATGAAAAACAATCAAAATGTAATTTTGACCTTTTTTCCTGTATTATTAAATTATTATACCTTCTAACTAAAGTGCTGTTTTATTTTTCATCATTTAGCAGGTTTTTAAAATAAATATTAGAAATCACTCAGGCACAGCATTTGCATTTTTCTGCATTCCCATCTCTTGGTTTAATGTTTTATCCTTTCTGTCCTGTTGGTTGCCAGGGACTCACCATAGTCTCCATCTTCTCTCTTCGTGGACACGAATCATGATTCCCATCCAATCACTTTGTGAATTCACTATGTTTACATACCCATACAATTATTTTTAAATGTGTAGTACGGAGTTGTAAGGTTGAAGCGTGAGCCATTTATTTGTTCTGAGGACTAAACACTTTGCTCAAACAAAATTTCACTTCTTTTCGTCACAAAGTTGATTATAATTTTTCAAGCTAATTGAGCTTGTCCTTAAATTCGGGTGGAATGAATTTTAATATCGTAACTCGGAAGTGTGATGTTCTCGGTCACCATTGCTGACTTCATTCAGTTTAATGGCGATCTGAAAGTAAGACTGCCCTGGAATCAACAAATGCAAAACACAAAAATCCCACCCGAACAAATGGGTTAGAATGGAGTTTTTCTTCTGGGGATGGTTAAGGAAGCAAAGCCTGTCCATTATTGATGACTGGGTTCTGTGCCTGTTTATTTTCAGGACTTTTTAAAGCTGTAGTGTTTGAGTGAACCACTTTGTTCTTACTTGAAGGTTTTAAGGAAAGTAGAGACAATATTCAGAGTTATTGACGGCGCAATATCCAGTTATGTAGAAAGCCGGCCTGAGCTCTTCTCAGCTTCCCTTATCACAGAGGCACAGCGCCTGCTGTGGTTATTCTGACAAGAAGACATGGCCACATAGAGTTCACCGATTCCACGAACTCACCCAACCGAATAGCAAAGCCGCTGTTTAAAGCAATCATTGTACAGTTACGACATAGGTGCAAGTGCACGTGTCTGTGAAGCCTGATGCAAATACACTCCAAGGGCGGCAAGGCACGCATGAGGACCTGAGTTCAAATTGTCAGCACTGCATGAAAAGCTGGCCAAGGCTGTGCTTACCTGGAATCCCAGTGCTGGGAGGGAGCAAAGGAGAATGCTCAACTACCTGGCCAGCCAGTCTAGCCGGTCGGTGTCCTCCAGATTCAGTGAGAGACACTGTCTCAAAGGATAAAGAACAATTAGTGTGCAGACTGGGCACCTGCTTGTGCACACACGCATACACACACACACCACGAGCACACCACATGCACATATGGACACATGCACGCACACACACGCACACCACATATAACACACACACACATGTCTGTTTTTATGTTACTAAATCCTAGTAACCCAATTTAATATGTGCTGAGGTGACATCTAAATGACTGAGAATAGTAACTCCAACATGAATCTCCAGATGTGAGCTTTACAGGCTGTACAAATTTGATTTTAGACTTGTTGAGTGTATTGTCTTTTTCTACAGTTTAGGGTGCCAAGTACAAATGCAAGGAATGTGTGCATATATCTCCTGACCTCCCAAATCACCTTACAGACTGCCTGCTGTGTGTGTGTGTGTGTGTGTGTGTGTGTGTGTGTGTGTGTGTGTGTATTTAAAGGCTTAAATTATTTTCTGGTCTCTGAATAAAAGCATTCGGTCAGCATAGCTCAGAATAAAGAGTTGGTGTTAAATTTGGTTTGTATTTAATAACATTCATTAGCACTAGGATATACTGCTATTAGCGTTACCTGAATTCTCAAAGGAAGTTATGCTGCTGGTGGATTTTAGTTGTTTTGTGGTTTTGGACATTTAGGTAATGCTCTAGCATGGGATGTTTGTTCTAACTTATTCCTGATCTTTTTATTTGTGGAACTTCAGTCATTCAGTAGTATAGTCAGCACTCAACCTATTTTAAACCCCCTAAAAATCAAAGTTTATGAAATATCCTTTGCGTGGATTACTGTTACTTTTTCTGTGCCTATCAAAGCAAATTCCTATGGCTTTGCATAAGATGTCTTCTGTAGTATCTTCTGTTATGTCAGAACCATCAAAGTGTTTATGCAAATTCACATTGCTGGACCCAACTTGTGGTCACAGGCACTAGAGGTAAGCTTCCCTCATGCTCTAACCCCAGTCAGCACGTTGGTTTGCCATCTTGAACTTGGGTGGATGCCTTACTTCAGCTGCCATTTCTCTGTGTGGAATGAATAGGCATCTTCTCAAGTCTCCCCAGGAATTGTCGCAGGACAGATAAGACGAGTAGGAACATCATGTTTAAAATATACCCACAGCTTTTGGAAAGTTAGGGACCAAAACAAATTAAGCAACAGGTAAGAAGTGTATTCAGGTGATGCCTCTCCCCCTGATTAGTTATCTTAAGCACAGAAAGGAGGCCATGCGCCTGTCTGCACTTCGAAATTTCAAGACGAATGGGTCTGCAAATGGCTCAGCAGGTAGAGGTGCTTGCTGTCAAGCCTGGCAACCCAAGTTTTATCCCAGAACTTCTGAGATGGAAGGACAGAAGTGACTCTCACAAGTGGGTTCTTCGGTCTCTATCAGCATGCTGTGGAATATAATACATATTATTTTTAAAACTTTGAAAGGACACACTGATGCAAAACTTATAACCAGGACATAAAATTCTTTTCCATGATTTCAGTCAAGGCTGTGTTCGTAGGTAGAAGGGCTGGCTTGGTGATGCGTGGTACGGGAAGGCACTAGAAAGGAGCACGAGACAAGCAACTGTTAGTATCTACAAGTTCAACGCCAGGCTTTGTTTGTGCTATTTATGGGAATAAATACAGAAACTGACCAGTGAACTGACTGCACCTGAGTTATCTGGGTAGACATGACCTTTTTTCTATACTTCAGTTCAGTTTTAGCAAAGGAAAAGAGGTGGAGACACTGGGAGCCAGAAGTCCTGTTTTGTATACAATTCTGTGGAGCTATCGAGAGCCATAACTAGCAGATAATGTAAAAAGGCATCTCCTGGCAATGTTGTGTTTTGCTCCCGTTTGATATGGCATTAGGTTGTGTGGGGTTGACGTGTTTCTAAGCATGCTGTGCTGAACAGAGAGCTCACGAATTAAAGGACTTAATGTCTCCGGCCATTTGCCTAGCTAATGACTTTAGAAACTAGGGTTTGGGCATTAGATGTATAAATTGAGGATATGACTGCTCCAAGATGTGGTTGAAGGGGAGATTTTTACTGTAGATATGAGGGAGGGTACAGCCAGAGGCATCTGGAAGGGTCCAGAGCAGGGAGAGAAAGTAGTAGATTTAACATGGCCAGCAGACTGGACTTGGCCATAGTGGGGATGGGGAGTGAGAGAGGATTGACTGAACAGGAGACAAGAAAAAGTGGTAAGAGAGAGGAGGCTGAGAGGAAGAGAGAGAGAGAGAGAGAGAGAGAGAGAGAGAGAGAGAGAGAGAGAGAGAGAGAGAGAAGAGCAGGAACAAAGAGGGTGCCTAACCAAAATGGCAGGGTTATATGGGAATAAGAAGCTGAGGAAGGGAAGCCCATGGCTGGGGAGGTTCAGGATAGGGGCTGAGAGAAGCCACAGGTAGTTGTGCAGTGAGAGCCTGGAGGCCAGCACTCCTTTCGGTATGCAGATAGGTGGCCATGTGTCCCTTCTGACAGTGCTGAAGACTGGCTCTTTTGGTAGAGGGAAATAGGGACCAGGGTTTAAAGGAGTGGGATTTCCTTTGGACCGGAGAAAGACTAAGGAAGCTATAGACTGTTCACAACCTTAAACACTCAGTATAGAGACTTGTCCTAAAAACTCTTAAAGGAGAAGAACCTAAATAGAGTATTTGACTTAGAATTGTGGCATAAGCATCAAGTTTTCACAGTTAGTTTATGCAAAGTCAAGTTAAACAGAATTTACTTTTCTATAGATTAAAAAAGGGTAAAGAAGGTTATTGACAGCTTAATCTTAGTGATATCTTCTTAACAAACAAGGAGTTCTGAGGAGATGCACTGATGAAAAAGTTGTCGAAGTAGTTGTGGAGATGTATTTGTCAATATGGTTAAAGCACTTCCCACAGTATAGCATATTATAATCTTTAATAAATGCTTCTGATGATTCTTGCCAGGGTAAATGCATACTTACAGTTATTAAGCTTTAGTGATTTATTTTGGTTTTATTTTTCATTGTCAGTTCTTTGCAGGGTGAGCATCTCTGCCTCTGATTATTTTCATAGTGTGAGGTCATGGGTCAGTGTTATCTTTGAAGGGCAGAAGGCTCATTTCTCACAAGTATTTGATTATCTGTAAATCTCCATTGCTGTGAGAAAATGGTAGTTCTCTTGTCAGCCATAAAATCCGTAATGCATGAGACTTGTGAAAGTTCAGTAGCAGTTTCCATTTTATTTGTTCTGGGTTCATTTGGAGGCATTTCCTGAAGAAGCAGTGTTCTTTGAGTCCTCTAGGCTGATTTGCTTGAATTCAGTATACGTAAAATAGCAATGATAAGCCAGCATCAGTCTCTCCACGATTTCATGATGTTGAGAAAGAAGACCTTGTGGCCAGCATTCAGAACTTTTTAGTTGATAGTCACAGTCACTGCTTTAGATTTAACTTTGTAATTATAGACTTTTAAAATGGAAACAGTAACACTGACATTATGTTGAAGGAACTTCCTTCAGCTTTTGAAATTTTCAAATGTCTTAACTTCTCGTTTTGATAATACATTTGTGATTGGGTTTATTACTTTTTCATAACGTGTAATAAAATGGTGTGAATGATAACTTTTATGAAAAAGTCATAGCTATAGATGACTTATTTGCATATCATTTCTACAGTTCACTAGTTTTCTGTTTCACAACGGTGCTTGCTTCTTTCATCTTTCAGGGTCGTTGCTCCAGGGAGAACTGCAAATATCTTCACCCACCCCCACACTTAAAAACGCAGTTGGAGATTAATGGACGAAATAACTTGATTCAGCAGAAGAACATGGCCATGTTGGCCCAGCAGATGCAGCTAGCCAATGCCATGATGCCTGGTGCCCCATTACAGCCCGTGGTGAGCACGCTTTCATCCTTATCCCTGTCTGTGTGGCCAAGTGCTCCATGTCTGTGCAGAGGCAGCGACTGTATGTGAACACGGGCAGCAGTGGTCATTGCCTAGTATTTTCACCCCGTGGAGTTACTTAGCTTTGTGCCAAAGGTCTTTGGCAATTTAAAGGCTAGCATTGCTTCCCCTAACACTCTTTTCAAAATTAATCATTTAACTTGCAGGTGTTAGCCTGGTATTTGTTAAAATAGTCATCAAAGTCAGCTTAGGTAAGATATATTCTCTATTGCCTTTAAAGGTAATAATGATGCTTTATTTAAAAACAAAAGTAGATATATAATAGTTGTTGGTTTTGAGGCTCTTTCTCCCTTTCATCCCTCATTGAAGAGAATCCCTGTCATTTTTCTTTCTCCAAAAAGAGACTTTGTGAAAACCTTAACTTGAAATTACTTTGTATTCACAAAGGCTAGGCAAATTTTCACCATGGTGAGTCATAACCACAGGCTTGGAAGCCTTTCCAAAGAGAACTAATCCAAGACAGAACTCCAAGGGCCTTTGAAAATAGCTAGATTTGATAAGCTACGAGTGATCATAGATATTTAATATTTTCCTAACCGTGTGCATGGGTAACTTGCTTATGAACACACATTCCTTTCTAAATGTTTAGATTGATGATGTGCATGTGGTAAATGAATTTAATAATCTTATTTATGTCATAGTTATTGTTTGCTTGAAATGGTGTTATGTTAATTATTGTACAGAAATCCTAAATTGCTTACGCATGTGATGAAATTTGTAGTGATCAGAGTATATCTGACAGTAATTTATCACTAACGTATTATTAACTTATTATAAGGTCATGAAAACACGTTTTTCTAGTTTGTTAATTGTAGCATGCGTGCTAACTGATTTTTTTTCCTAATACATTTTAACACCTGAACTCAATGTAATTATTATTCTCTCTTAGAACTTAATGCAACAGTCATTCCAAAAAAGAGGGGGGGATTGCATTTCGAGGTGGGAGGGATCCCCATATTACACCGGCAGTGATACCAATTATCAGTACTGTACAGTCGAGGTGAGAGAATATTATAATTAATTCTCTATCATTTTAATCTGATTTTTATTTTATTACATTATTGGGGGCTCAGTTAAAATGTGATCTCTTTATTTTTATGACATCTCCTAATTTTATATGTCTGTATGGTGATACATAAATATTTTAAATTTGTTAAAAATGTTTTGTATAATCCATCATTCTCTCTTCCAGAAAAATATAGGACAAAAAAATCTTTCTTGAGCTTGGTTCTCATGTATGGTTTCAAAGATCTGGGGCAGTTTCTGCTTTAGGGTATAAGGTTACTTCTGACTGATATGAGGTCCTTTTTTCCACTTAAACTTGTAAATCATATTTACTGTTGTTCTGTGCTCTCTGTGACCTAGAACACCACTGAGATGGGCAAGCTAAGTCTGGGATGGAAGAGGCTATGCCCACCATGGCTCTGAGATGCTTTCTGTGATGTCTCAGGCCATGTCCTGACCTTGTCCTTAAAGTCTTACTCTCCTGGCTGATCCAAGGTCATATATGCTTAGCTCTGGGACAAACTCCAAAGACCTCTATTCTCTGAAATGCTAGTGACATATGTGTTTACATAGTCACTAAATCATAGATTTCTGAAACCATCAGATTTATGGTACTTTTGTTAGAAAGTTTTCTGCTTAGATAAAGTCATTGTCTGTATTAGTTATAAGCACAGGCCTTATGTTAATTTCTCCTCACATCATAATATTTCAGTGAAAATTACCCTTTGCAAAAGTATTGTGAAACCATAGATGAAAAGTCTCTGTTCAGGATGGTGTTATTATAATAAGTATTGAAATCATTTTAATTATTCAAATCTAAAGCGTTTTTACTATAATGACTGTAGAGAAGGCTTTAATACAGGAAATTTGCCTTCAACCCCCCCCGAGACTGTTTGATCCCCTTCATAGTCAGCCTTGTTTTGATGAGGATAATAATAATATAGAAAGAAATGGGATGATCGTAACCAACTGGTTTCTGAAATTTTGATTTGGGCTACCTATAGAATACAGCTAAGCTAGAGCTGCCCTGTCACTAACATAAACCGTGGCTCTGAACACACACTGAGGCCTTAACTCTACTTGGTGTTAAATTTTCTAATAAATTATTTTAATTTATTAGAATCATTTTAAATTCATTTTAATTCTTTTATGAATCATTTTAATTCCTTTATAATATATGATCTTTGAAGGTAAATGAGATTATAGCACTTAGTTTCCCAAAGAAAAAAAAAAGCAAAAAGGAAAAACTTTCCGTGTTCCTTCATAAGTGATACATCATGGCTGGAGGTTGGGATGTAATGAGAAACTGGCATACAGTCTAGCTGACCCTGAACTGCCTCTTCCGGATGACACCCTGGAAGCAGCACCTAGTATATGTCTTAGGCTCCAGGATCAGCTCCAAGCTCTCTGAACTGCAGAGAGATCTCTGTAATCAGTGGGTGCTGAGAATTGGACATGAACTCAGGAGTTCCATTAATGTTCCCTCACCCGCTTTACTTGCAACCTGGGTTAGCAGTAACTGCACAGTTTCAGGAAGCAGCTGTTCCTGAGGTCCACACCAGCACCTTGAGACGCATAGCCTGTGTAGGGATCCCCAGGCATTCAGTGACTCTGACATGTATGTGACCAATTCAGAGTTTTCAAATTCAGCTCACGTCTCCAGTGCCATTGTTTCTCTTGTCCCCTTGACTTTGCCACCCTTCCATGTTCCTAGTGTTGCTTAGCAGTAGGGTGCAGAATGTTTTGAAGACATCACTTGTCCTCCTGCAAGGAGCACCTCAAAATCGCCAGTGTTTTCTTGCTTTACTGTCTCGCTTACCCACCGTCATGATAGGAGATAAGGCCAGTTCATCCTATAGTGTCTCTTCATCAGTTACACTGATATATTCTTCAGTCCAGCTGTGCACCAGTGAGTCTGTGAATTCTCAAGCAGCTTGAGATCAGGACCTGAACTCTGAGAACAGTCCTACGTTCGTTTGAAACCTTTTTACTGAAAGAGTCTCAGGCGAGACTGCGCTATTCAAGTGTTTGTTGCAGTAAAACTGGATCAAAGGATACAGCAAAGCAGATAAAGCAAACATCCCTCTTGCTCCTCCCATTCACAAGCCAGCCAGGGAGCAGAGGCCACAACAGCCTTTGTTTTACTCAAGTCACATGCTACCTTCTTAGACAAAGACTTGAGTGTGAATTTATGGATAATTCTTGTTAGCTTTGACCACTGTCTACATTCAAATCTATTGCCCACCAAGACTAGTTCTGTCTCTGGCTACAAAATGGTGCTTCCCTAAAAGCAGTTGCCAATATTAAGGCTTTCCTGAAACTATTTTAAGAGAGCTTTGATTTTCACTGATTGCAAGTTTGACTGAAGCATACACAGGTACACACACACACATTCTACTGAGCATACACAAGTACCCATGCATACATTCTATCGAGCATGCACAGGTACACATGCATACGTTCTAGAAAATATAACGTGTAAAATTTCTGTTCTATAATCTCAGAATAATAAATTTTGCATTATTATATATGACCCTTTCGTTGTATAGAAACAAATATCATTGCAGTGTTTTAAAATGAACAACCCTGTGTTGTTTGCAGTGGTGCAGAATAGTAATTATAATACTTAAGATGTAGCATTTAATATAAAAATTAAAAAACAGAAAAGTTAAGATTTTAAATAGTTATAAGAAAACAGCTAAACTCTGAAGTGGAAAGTAATATATAATTATATCTCTTAGCATCTTGATATCTATGCTAGAAAATATATCATGTGTTTGGTACTTCCTCTGGCAAAGAAAAGCAATTAGCAAATCTGTAATGGCTGTGTTATACAATAGTCACAGAGGTGGGTGCAATGTCAGTTGCTAGTTGGATACAGAATGACAGGTACAAAACAGGCACCATTTGGGGAGGGGGATCTGCAGCTTGATAGGAACAGCAGAAACACAGTTGGTTTTTAGGGGTCAGAGCTACAATCAAGTGAGAGGGAGTTCTATGAGACAGAGAGTTGTAGTGTGGACTCACTGGAGATACTTAAAGAGGTAGAATTCTGGCCCTGAAGCATATCTAGGAGTTAGGCAGGTGGGCTGGGAGCAGTCAGTGTTGCCTGAAACCCATCCTCAGCAAAAGAGAACCACAAAGGAACTTGTTTCCTTAGAAACCCCATGTCCAATCAGAAATGAAACCTGTTTCTTTAAGTGCCTGGGAATAAAATCACATAGAAGCTTAAAAAAAAAAAAAAAAAAACCTGCTTCTGCTTCCTAGGTACCTTTCCTTGGAATTCAGACAAGGAGGAGTGGCTGAGGAAATCACAGTTTCAAAGACTTCCAGATAATTGTAATTCACACTTGGTCATTATGTGAGAACCAGATTTCAAACCAGATTGAAATTAGACTCAGATGTGTTCACTCCCTGACCTTCCATTCATTCCTTTACAAATGATGGGACACAGCATTTGTGAGCATTTTATTTAGAAAACAGACATAATGATGTCCCCAAGCAAAATGGCAATTCATTCATTCATGGAATGCCTTCTGTAGGCCAGGCATTGCTCTGTGTTTTGGGCACTTAGAAGGGAGCTAAAAGATATCTCCCTACTCTCGCAACTCTCCCCAAAGAAAGTTTAAAGGAAGAAAAGCCTTATATTAGGAAAATATAAGTAAAGCATGCAAGCCACAGATAGGGAATTGCTAGTAATAATCATGTTTATGTAGTTAACTAGGATCGTAATATGAAATTAACTAATGTATTCAGTTATAATGAAGCCTGAATACCTTAATGTAAGCAAAATGTCTCATTTAAAACAAAACAAGTGATATATAAACAGCCCTGCAATTAGTAAAGGTGCAATTTATTTATCTCACTGGAAAATGCCCTGGGAAAAGGCAACCATAAACCAACGTCCTTTATGCGTCCTTGGAACAAATATATCTATTAGTCATTGTTACAGGGATGTACTCAGTATCAGTTACACCAGTTACACAGTTAGACATTATCCAGTTTAGTACTGGAGAGAACGTAAGGGCTACTTCAAATATCAGTGTATCAGTTACCATCTTTGAGATCCTCTGAGCCCTCTGCAGGACAGCTCTGGGAATGCAGGAGTGGCCATGGTCACAAGAGCAATTTCCTGAGGGTTAGTGGCTAACAGTAACCAGCCCCAAACACAAGGTGCTCATGGTTTGTAACAGCTACATTTCATCCATATATTGGTTTTCACTGTATTTTATTTGATGAGATTTAACGAGCCTGAGTTTTATTGGCCTACTGTCGTTGTTTTGTCAAGTCAGAATATATTTCTTCATCCGAATGACTTTATGAATTCAGCCTTTGCCTTAAAGTAATTATTATAGTGTACAATGACATAAACATTTTAGTAACTTTCTGAAATAGGTACTAAATGGGCTTTCTGGAAACCCATTTTAATTCACAGAAATGGAATGCAGAGAGGAAAAATATTAACTAGCTCCCAGTCTTTTGGATCTCTGCTAAATTTCTAATAATTCTTTTATCTAGTTACAGCACTGGTCTGAATGGCTTTGCATGTATTACATCTAACTGTGTGGAAGAGAGTACAGATTTGACTAGTATATTCCTGGACAGATGTTGAAATAAAATGTATGATCACTATGCAGGACTGCCCCTTTCATGGTGCTGACCTGGCCTCCAGGATACAAAGAGGTATCCTGCAGTCAGCTGCTGTTCAAGGAACTGCTGAAAGACAGAAGCCCCTGGGCCCAGTTTTAGATATGGATGATGGTTTTTAATAGTGTAACACATGAAAAGTTTCTTATAGCCTGAGGGTAGCTGCTTTGGATAGGGATAGGTTGGGGGTTGGAGGTGAAGGTCTTGTTTTAGGCGACATCATCTTTCAAGAGCCATGCACCTGTCAAAGTAGCTAAGCTTGGTATTCAGAATCATGTGCTTGGAGGCCTAGGTATTTTAGCTTGAAAATATCACTGTGAGCTACGCTATAAATAAATCCTTTCCAGTGAATCAGAGTACACATTAAATATTCTATTGTTCATAGTCTTCATAGCACAAATGTGTGTGCAGTGCACAGCTATCATGTAGGATGCATGCTCAACCTGATGCAGAAGACTTTTGGGACCTAACACTTTCTTTTATGAAGGAATGTCATTTACACTTTTAGCATACCTGGCTTTTCTCTATTAAATACAGTAGCATCACCGTAGTGTGACAAAGGTATGCAGATATTGCCACATGTCTCCAGGGAGGTAGAATCACCCAAAATGAGAACCACTTTTTGTGTAGAAGGGTCTAAACACTGCTTTATTCCTCTGCATGCACGATGTCATAGCAATATTATGGAAATGACATTTTATTTTGTAATTTGTTTGATTTCATGTTATACTAATAACTTGTATATTCTTTGTTGCGTAAAGTTTTATTGCCAAGCTTTCTGGAGTCTTTCCTATACTCTAGCATCTTATAACTTCTTATCAGAGAGAGGAATTGGCAGCACTTTAATCTAATATCGTCATAGTATAAAACTGTTCAGGAGATCTATTTCTTACTATCAGAACTGTTAAAAATTACCTTTAAGTACAGGTACCATTTTTCCATGAGAGAGAAAGCGAAAGAAAACCTTAGAGATATACATACATACATACATACATACATACACACACAAACATATAGAGAGAATAATTTTTACACAAAGCACTAAATTTTAAAACTTAAATTTATTGAAAATCTATAATCAGTAAAACTGTAAATTGTGTCTTGTTACCCCGGACAAACTCTTAAAATAGATTTCAGCAGACTATTGAAGATTAGATCTATTCTTTGACATTCTGATTTGCATATCAAAAAGTAACATAAGTCTTCATCTGTCGAAGTATTTCCGTCATAAATCCTATGCTGCCAGGTGTAATTCTTGAATAATTCTGTGGCGTGTCCTGGGAAGTGTTCTATTTCTGTCTTCACATGCTAGACTCTTCTCTTTCTAGTGAGGCTTAGTTCATTGCCGAATGCCTCCCAAGGATGTGATGGGCTCATAGGATCTTGACCATTGCTTCTGAGAAACCCACATCAAGTGGCCAGGCCAAATGCTATTTCCTCTTCACCCAAAAGACAGTGTAATCTTTGCCCCTCACAGCTCACAAGATGTGCTAACTGTGCACTGGTCAGGGGACTCAGTGATGCCCCAGGACTCCTGTGCCTGCCTCAGACGATAGGGCTCTTGTATCCTGTTAATACTTGTGAACAGACCTTTCGAGGGTATCTGTAGTTACAAAATGTATATTTCAGAAAAGTTCCTAGGAATGAGTTAGGACAAAGGTGGAGGATGGGTGACGACAAGCAAGTGTCTGCACTGATATATTCAGGACAAAACCCCAGTTTTAGATGCAAATCTTCTGAAACCCTCTGGAAGTTCATCTGCTAGGTTTTAGGAAAAACATGACCTAGCGAATTTCTCTTTTCTAAATTCAGAACAGAATTAAACGGAAGTGAAGGAAGGAAGAATGAGCCACCTATGAAGAATAAATGATAGTTGTATAAAGTAGGGTATCAACTTGGAAGCGAGGCCTGCAATTAAATTTCGCTTTCTATTTTACTTTTCAGCCAATGTTTTCAGTTGCACCAAGCTTAGCCACCAATGCATCAGCAGCCTTTAATCCCTACCTGGGGCCTGTTTCCCCAAGCCTGGTTCCAGCAGAAATCTTGCCTACTGCACCAATGTTGGTCACGGGGAATCCTGGAGTTCCAGTGCCAGCTGCTGCTGCAGCTGCTGCACAGAAGTTAATGCGGACAGATAGACTCGAGGTAAGACCAAGAATTGCATCTGTGTAGTTTCCATGACAGTTCTGAAGTATTATGGCCAGAAATGACTTTAAACGCTGAAAGCAATGATTTTTCTTCAGTATTTGTAGCAATTTGTTAGACTGGAATTCTGCTGTTATGAGTAACGGAATTTTATAAAAGCTACTCTTCCATGTTTAGGCTACTAGGTGAAGACTGGAACTGGGCTTGGGGTGCCTGTTACTTCCCTATGCCATCAGTTTCTTTGAAATATATCACATGTTGCCAGTCATGCACATACCTCAAAGAATTAGAAAGAAAGAAAGCGTTCGGCACTGAACAGTTGCTTCTTGAATGTTTATTGCTGTGGCATTGTAGCAATCAAAAATTAGAAATGATTGATGCCCTCAGGAGCTCACAGACACGGAATGCGCTGGCTACCGTACATGAGACGTCCTAAAACTCACTGCAGATGTTCCCATAAGCTCCGGAATACATCCGTTGAGACAGTAAGGCAGTTCTGTGGAACGTGCCCTTATGAGAGCCTTTTAGAAAAAAAACGTCACTTGGCTGTCATAGTCTTGGGGTGGAACGTGAACAGATGCTCAGGCTTTGCTGTTGCTGACTGAAGAGGAAATTAAAGTTATACATCCAAATCTGAAATTAGCACGCAGAGTTCCAGCATGTCATGAATTAACAGGCTTGATAGACCACAGGAAAATGGCCTCTGAGTAAGGCACAGATCTGCATCCAGCAGCCTTCCCTGCCTGTCTGCATAGAGGGGACTCTGGGCTGAGAAGTCCTGTGTGGACTAATTAAGGAGAAAGCAACAAAGTCAGGCGTACATGAAGGCAGTTGAGCCTAATAACTAGTGAAGTTAGCAGAAGTATAGTAAGTGTTAATATCTTACTTATTCGTTAAAGCTTTGGGGATGTATTAGAAAGAGTATCAGATCACAACATTTTTGTCAGGATGTCCCCCCTGACACAGACATCACTCCTTCTAGCCTTAGAACAACCTGATGGGAAGACACTGATATTACCACTGTTTCCTAGGGAGGTAAGTCGGGGTAGGAAAGAGATGTCATGTTTGGCTTCTCATTACACAAGTGCAGCAGTTCTCTTCTTAATGCTGTCTGCAAGTGCAATACAACAGCATTTGCATCAGCTTTATTCCCCTGGTCTTTGTAAAGCAAACCCAGGATTCTTAATGCATGATTGTTATTGACTAATGGGACTCAAATCGTCTGAGAGAAATGTCAGTATATTAATTATTAATATGTAATAATATTCAAAACACTGAAAGAATGGTCTTAAAAAAAAACTCAGCTACATTTTCAAACTCTATTTTTTTCCCTTAAAATTTTAGGTACTTTTTCGGTAGTTGTATTTTGTGATTTAGTTTTCTTCCTTATGAAGAGCTGCTGTGTTTTGTCATTTGCCTTTGCTACTGCTAGAACAATCTCTCCTTCTGCATACGGGCGTTCCTGATAGCAGTGAGCATGCCATCCCTTCTGTTGCCAGCATCTGAGTCATTGTCACAGTCACAGGGCCTGCAGTGGGAGACATGCATGTGCCTCTGCTCTGCAGTGATTCAGGGCTCTCCCAGCCCCCAGCACCTCCAGAGCTGGAGCACTGGAGGGAGAAAGACATGGAAGGAGTGCCCACAACTCTTTTCTCACAGTTGACACCAGTGATTACTTAGAGATTAAAGTCGTGTTCTACAATAAAATATTTTGATTTTTATTTTCTTCTGAGGTAGCATTGGTCTAAAACAGTTAGGATCTTGGCTTAGTTCTTCTTGCTACATCTTTTCCTCCTTGTCTATAATTGGCACACAATAAAGAGATTTCAAATAACTTAGAAGTACTAGTGTTGACCAGATTGGATACAGAGGTCTGAAGGTGGAAAATACGAGCCCGGTAATCACTGCTTGTAGGGTAGTTAACTGCTTAAGCTTGGTTCGTCACATTGACTTCATTTTGCTTATATGTAAAATTTGAGATTTGCACTGGTTTATTTTATCTTTAATGTCACAGCATATTTAAATCATTCCTTGTCTTTCAACAGCAACCAAAAGAGGTATTAAAACATTTATTTATAAATATGTGTGTGTGTTATATACACATCACAGATACATAGCATTTTTATCAATATGCTCATCCATTCTTTGCTGGATATTTTTACAAAGATTTTATGTTCTGTACTATAAGCTCAGGTTGTAGTTTTCTCTTAAAGTGAGGCCAGTTTGTTAGTCACTAAAAATATGCTCCTAAAATTCTGCTTTGTGGCCTTGGGATCCTTTCTGTAATTCCCAGCATCATTTTAATGCTTAAAGAGTATTTTAAGAAATGATTACAGTTTGTGCAGGTATTAGAAATGGCTAAGACTTAAGGTCATGTATGTGCTTCATTACAAAGCATTGATAATAACAGAAATCATTGATTTAGTCTAAAGAATCATAGTAAGCTTTCATGCTGCAAAATGGATCCACGGATTCATTTATGCTACCGTATCCAGTGGAGAACTATACCAGGTGTCCTTCAAGTTAAAGGTGTGTTCTGGATACCTGTGAAGCCTTTACTTGCTGTTGTCTGTTACCAAGAAAGGACCCTCCTAAGACTAGTACTGCTCATGTAACTTCTACCCTTAAGTAAATGTCAGCTCGCCAACCTGCTATGAATTTAACTAGTCACAGGAAAACACATTCCCTCACAGAGATCTTATTCATGATAGGTGATTAGACATAACAACTTTGAGGAAAAGTTTAAATATTTGTTGACCCTATTTTGGGGGACACATTTAGGTTTTGACCATTCCAATTAGAAAACGTGTTGTCTTGGTTGTGCTATTAGACATGGTGCAGTTTATTTGCCAATTTAACAGAGACTAGGATCACTGGGGGTGGTAGTTTAAATCTGGCACCCTCGTTCATGTAGACTTGCTAGTCTGGTAGTGGGTTTCAGGAATTTTATTCACTCATCAGACAACTGACTAGCCTTCAGAATACTTGTTATATAACTCCCAACTTTGCACCCCTTCAATGTTATTATTCGTGACTCTGAACCGAAGATGCACTTCTAGTGCGCACAGTTTTATACAGACTGCTAAGTTGCAGTGAGCATTGCTCGCAGTATACTGAAGGACTTTAGACACAGTTACAGGAAAGCAGTTCCTACCACACAGTAGTAACCAAACACACCTCGGGGGCTGCATAGTTCAAAGACTTATTAAGACATTTCTTTGGATATTTTTTTTCTGGCTATTTTTTATCCTGTTGACTATTTAAGGTTTGTAATTATCCTACAGAAGTTTTGTTAGAAATGGGATTTAGAATGGTTTTGGTGAGCATTGCAGTTGAAGTGCTGCTTTTTCTACGTTATCCATTTCCTGTTACACTGTGTAGACCAACCTGGCCTCCGGTATCAGCTCTGCTTTGATGTTCACAGAGTAAGAAACTCTGTGCTCAGTTTTGAGTGAATCCTATTTTGTGTATGGCTTAGTATATCTCATCATTTTAATTTAGGTTTGAGAAACATTTATCAATACCCCAAATTTTTTTTACCAACAAATTTTGTTTCTACATATTCATGTTAGAAAATTAGGAAATTAGCCAAAATGCCTATTGTTGTATTTCCTTTGCAAAATCGTTTGTAATATGAAAATGATGGAAATTACCTATATATCCACTTAAGAGTCACCCATAATCTGTGCACTATTTAATATCTGATGTGCAATCAGAAATGATGATTTGGACCTCACATAGGAAGATGAAAATGTTGACGCTGTTATGGCTTTGTTTTCTGAAAAAGGTACCAAGTTGTCTCTAAACTGTGATCATCCTCATATTAAAATGTGTGCAAACAGGAAATTACACAGAAGGAAAATGGAGTCAGAATATTGCTCGGATATTTTTTTATTTAATTTTGTCTTCTCTGCTGCTAATTTGCTGTTAAATTTTATAAGTTCTCATCCTGTTTTGGAATATGAGATTAAATCTGTTGCAAATTTTGTCAACTTTAGTTTACCAAGATAAACTACATCTCAATGTTTTGTTTTAATGAGGTTGGTAAACCTAGTCAGAAGTTTTCTTCAATTTTCAGAGAAAGGAACAAACCAAACCCATATTCAGCAGTCATTGCTAGACCCCATTTTACTGGTGGTGACTGTTAGGAGGAAATGTGTTTGAAAGTTGTCCCCATTCAGTGCCCAGCATTCAAGAGTTTGTCTATCTGCCAAACCTTCCCCACCGGCTCTCAGCAGCCCAACTCTCACAAGGTTTCTCCTTCACTGTTCCCCTGAACAGCAAACTAACATGAGGGTAGCAGTTTGTGTGTTCTTCCACGTCCATCCCCATCCAGTTCAGAACAAAACACTGGGAAAATATATGTAAGTCCAAAATGCAGCAAAAAAGGAAACTTTCATTTTCAAAACTTTAAAATTTACTGTAAAACTCTGCTTTTTTCTCTGATTAAGCATTTGTACAACTCTCCCTGCTTGCATTCCACAAAAAAAAAATGAAGTGTAAAATTATAGTCAAGCAGTCTTTAACCTATAGAAAGCATACATGCACAAATGGAACTGACCTTCCTGCCAGTGTGGCAAACGTGAAACATAGTGTCAGGTCTTTGCCTTCAGTTCTCACCTAGGCAGACTTGGGAAAGAGGAAATTATTGAGAACTGGCTGGAGAGAGCACATATGGGCCAATCTAAGCTTCCTCTTGGATGAATTGCTTAAGCACAAAAGTGACCTTTGTTCTTCATAACATGGCGTTATAAACATAAAACATAATATGTATTCTACGGGTAGGCTCACTCATTACATTGTAATTTTTTTTTCAGAGTATCTCTTTTGCTGGCTTCAGTGATAAGCTTGTAGTTTTTAACAGGCTCCAGGAACCTGTGCTCTGAAGGCCCCACCACTTCCTCTTGTAGTCCGCTAGAGAAGGGGAGTGCCCTGAAACACAGCTTGGCCACATTTGCTTTCTAAATTGTAAACGCGTGGTTACACTTGAGTTTCCTTTGTTCTGTTCAAGAAGGTGAATATAGTACTAAAACAGCCTCTGGTAACTTCCTAAATCATCTGTACCCTTAGTTACTCAATATGCTTAAAAAATCGAATAAAGTAAGAAGGTGAGTGGTGCTAGGCCATTGCTGTGCTGTAGAACACACGTCTTTTACTAGCTGGGGGTTTCCCGGTGATCATTTACAGCATGCTTCTTAATATGTAGCCAAACCCAGGTTCTTAGTATGAGCCGATTTCCATCCTAATAGGATATGAACATAATAGGGACTGGTTTAAATGCAGTCGTTTTTATGAGTCCCTTTAAAGTCCCAGCATCTCAGTCCTGTTTAACTGCAAAACAGAGTGTTCAGTGTCTGCATTCGCCCAGTTGGGGGAGGGGGCATGCTGGAAGTATGAAAACTATCTTTGAAGTGTGCATTGTTTAAAAAAAAAATACTGAGTTTTGAAGCTAGGGCACACAATAAAGTCAAGCCATTCCGTGTTTTAGATGGCCCTCTGCTGGTCAAAAGATCAAACTCCCAAAGGAAGACTTTTGGAAACTTCAATAAGACTCAAAGAGCAAGCAAATGTATTTTACCTCTTCCCCAGGATCCCCACACTGAAGTTAACAGCCATAAACCAAGCAGGCAGTAACACAAGTGAATCTTCCTCCCTCTGCTCATACTGATGTTGAGGGCATTTTAGTGCTCAGAAGTGACTTCTGGAAACATTTGGTAGAAATGCCCTCCAGTTAGAGTGTTTTGTGTTTTCACTTAGAGCTAATGTCTGTTTACCCAAATGCTCGCTGCCTGACATTCACTAAACTAAATATTTTAACTTTTTAAACAACTCCAGTACCACTTATAAATCTCATAATTTAACTTTGGTTTACTGTGAATCAAGTGACCTGTATACCTGAATCTGATTTAATTTAAATTTTTATTGCTTTTATTTATTTATTCATATATATGTCTACTCACTTGCATGCCACACAGTATATGTGAAGATCAAAGGGCAGTTTTCAGGGATCAGTTCTCTCCTTCTACCCTGTGGGTTCCAGGGATCAAGCTCAAGTTGTCAGGTGGGGTAGCTCTCATTGGCTGTGTCAGACATAAGCAACTGTCCTGCCAGCATCCTTGCTCTGGCTCCATGATGTCCAGTCCACGACAGCTTCTTAATCTTTCTCATTTGAACAACCTTGGCCCTTTGAAAGAATGTTTAGTGTTTTGCAAAATACTTCCCATTCAGTGTGTCTAGTATTTACCAATCGGCAACGATACAAACACCATGTGTGACAGGGCTTTCTGGGGAGGGGAGTAGGGAAGTTACATTAATACAGTGGTGTTCCTGTGTCTCATTCTTTCTTAATATTCATGTGCTCACCTGGTGAAAGTGGTGTCTGCTGGCTTTCTTCACTCTAAAGTCCACATTTTCCCCTTGGTAATGAATAAGTACAGCAACACTGTGCTGGAATAGATAGCTCATACTTCCCGTTCATCGTGAACTCCTTTCCTTTCTCAAGGACATTTCGCCGGAAAGATTCCGTATTTGTATTTGCATACTAAGCACTGCCAAATCATGCTGCTGCATTGCTCCAGTTTACCTTCCCCCCTCCATATACATACACCCTTGGCCCCCAGTTTGGATCGCTGAATTATCGTCTTCAGAAAGGACCGGCTTGCTCACATTGACTGAATCCCATTCACTTCATGACCCTGTTCATAGGTGTGTCGAGAGTACCAGCGAGGCAACTGCAACCGGGGAGAAAATGACTGTCGGTTTGCTCACCCTGCCGACAGCACAATGATTGACACCAACGACAACACCGTCACCGTCTGCATGGATTACATCAAAGGGAGATGCTCTCGGGAAAAGTGCAAATACTTTCACCCTCCCGCACACCTGCAAGCCAAGATCAAGGCTGCCCAGTACCAGGTCAACCAGGCTGCAGCGGCACAGGCTGCAGCCACTGCAGCTGCCATGGTGAGTAGAGAGAGCAGTGCCCTCCTCGTCTGCAGTCAGAACGATATTGAACAATTTGTCTCCTACAAGCTCTTCATCTATTAACCTCTTTGTTATGTTTTGCTGAAGATATGTTTGTTCAGGTATCCCCACACAATACATAAAGAAGCTGCCCTTCACAGAAGTGAGGGTAACTCCTCGGATGGTTCAGATTGTTCCTCCTCTTGGCCTAACCCCTAAGGATCTGTCTTGTTCTTGCTGTAGGGTTTCTGACATTCCTGCTTCGTAAAGAGCCACTTGTCTCCTCTTTGACATAACAACACTGCCATCTCCAGTTTCTGTACATCATCGACCAGCCGTTGTTCTCCTTGGGTGTGTTCTTTTGCACATCAGAGCTCTTCTTTACATTTATCTTGCTTTTAATAACATAATCTGGAACTATTTAGGAGAATCACTTCGACAAAATTGCTTTTAAATTAGCTGCAACATTTTGCATAGCCTGCCATCTAGATAGTGTGAAGGCCTACTGTGGCATAACCATGATTGTTCAAGAGCCAGGTCTTGACTAAGCCATTATACATGAAGGAAAAAGAAACTGCGCTACTCAAGGAGTTAAAAATCAGGTCATTTAGAATAGATACTAAATGGTTTTTCTTAAGATAAACTTCAGTATGACCTAGTAGCAGAGTTTAAGGGGTCCATTTCTTGGCTTAGCTGTTTTAATGTTATCCTTTCTTACATATAAAATATATAGCTTTTTAAAATAGTCATAAAAATCATTGTCACTACACCATAAAATGAGAGAGGTCAAAAAAAAATTTAAAAAAAAATGAGAGAGGTCTTTTCTGTGTTTGTTTATGGATACTTGAGCAAAAATACAGAAGGCAGACTCTCTCCTTTTCTCTTTCTTCTACTCCCTTTTTTTTCTTTAGAGTATTGTTTGTAATTAACTACAAAGAGGAATTATCCTCCAATAACAACTCAATAGTGCCTCTATTGTGCATGCTTAGTCTTGTTATTCGTTGTATATGGCATTCCGATGATTTGTTTTTTTATTTGTTTTTTTCTCACCTACCCAAAATGCACTGCTGCCCCCATGATGCACCTCTGCTTGCTGTTTATGTTAATGCGCTTGAACCCCACTGGCCCATTGCCATCATGTGCTCGCTGCCTGCTAATTAAGACTCAGTCGGCTGTCAAATCACTGAAGCGACCCCTCGAGGCAACCTTTGACCTGGTACTATGACCTTTCACCTTTTAGCTTGGCATGTAGCTTTATTGTAGATACAAGGTTTTTTGTTTCTTAGTTTTTTTGTTTTGTTTTGTTTTTGTTTTTAACCAATTAAAAAAAATATATATATATATATATAATCCTTTTCCTGTTTAAAATGGTAAAGTGCAATGAAAAACTGAGTGTGGTTTCCTGAAAAATGATCAGAAAGACCTAAAATGTGTACATAGATGGCTATGGTACAATGAAAGACTGGAATCCCAGCAGCCCACATTCAGTTTAACTACATTGTAAAGCGTTCTAATGAAATACTCGGAGAACAGTAAAGTGTGGTTTTCACTGTATATTTATTTCTGTACCTGTGTGGTTAGCATGGCTTTAGTGGTAGAATTCTTACATTTTAACCTGTAGAGTGCAGTATTTGAGGAGAGTTTGCATGCTCTGGGACATTTGCATGTGTCAGCGGACTGGGGTGGGCAGAGCTGGCTGGAGGTCCTGTCCCCGCCAGTCGCCGTACGGTGACCTTCTCACAGTGCTCCCACTCCTCGGTCCTCATGGAGCTCGCACTGCACCTCTCCTTCTTCCCCAAATCAACGGCTTCTCACGGAAAGCCTGAAGCATTATGGGACATAAAACACCTTACTCATGATAACATCTGCTCTCCTTACTAGTGGGCTTTCGTTGTGGACGAAATAATGCTTCCTTTAAAGCTTTTATCTTGCTTAATTTCCTTAATTGGTTTTGTCGACTGGATTTTTCCCTGGGTAGTTAAATGCTCTGCTGCTTGCTTGCTCGTGCTCCCTAACAGTTTTAGCCTACAACTGATTTTTCTTTTTTTTTTTTTTTCTTTTTCTCTTTTTACTGGTATTTGTTTTTATACTCATTCACTAAACAGGGAATTCCTCAAGCTGTACTTCCCCCATTGCCAAAGAGGCCTGCTCTTGAAAAAACCAACGGTGCCACCGCAGTCTTTAACACTGGTATTTTCCAATACCAACAGGCCCTAGCCAACATGCAGTTACAGCAGCATACCGCCTTCCTCCCACCAGGTAAGGGCTTGGATTGGCTACGGAATGTATCTCTGATGACCTGCTCAGGGTTCTACTGTTAGAGCAGGTTAATCCCTGCAGCCCAGGTTAGCCGTTAAATCATAGAGAGGGTGTAAGGTAAGGTGTAGCAAGCTGGGGAAACAGTCAGCTTTCATAAATGGCTTTCCTTTGAAACTGAAAACTTGAGCTTCTGAGACAGAGATGTTTATATATTTGTGGGTGTTTATGATATTTGGAATTGAATTGTTCTCTTTTTTTCTCTTTCCTCAACACTGTTGTATGTTTGTCAAGCTGTGTTATGATGCTCTCTTGCTGTAAGACCCCTTTGCCTTCAAGACACCAGAGTTTTATGAAATGACTCAATTTTGACAATTTCACCCATTAGTTTGCAAAATGGACCGAGACAGTTAAAATGTATTCATCCTAGAGCTCTTAAGATGTGCTCTTCGTATTAATTATGCATTGCTAAAATTACTCTTGTGCCAATGCTGAAATTAAAGTCCAACTTCCCTTGGTGTTTGTATTTACTGCTTAGTCATCCCATGGTCTTCCTCTTTAGTGCTTAGTCATGCCTCTCTGGTTTCAGCTCCCTTTCAGCTTGCTCACATCCACATACTCTCATTCATAGAGATTTAAGGGTTAAAAACACGAATAACTCACTAAGTTGGTTAGAAATTTACTATTTCAACATCCTTAATTCTTTTGTTTTGTACATTGCTTCACTTTTTATACACCTCATATTTTAAAATTAATTAACCAAGAGTATCAGTAATCTCTTTTTCCTATACATGGTTTTATTTTGAGAACACTTTGATAAAATAGTTTATTAAAAATTAGTAAATTAATAGCTAGGTATGTACATCATGGCTCTACCACCTTGTGCTATGGTGACAGTATTTAGAGTATCATGTTCCTGTGATAATAAAGAATAGGATCGTTTTCTTTTAGACCTATTAGCAAATTAATACATTCTGCTCATATTAGATATTGCTGAGAAACAAAACTTTTTGTCTGATTCATTTGGAAAACTGGCCATCCACACATGGAATAAATAAGCTAGCTGAACTGTTTTATTAAAATGCTCCAGGGTAAAATGGTAGCTATACTCTTGAGATAGCATTCTTCAAGTGGGAGTTTGTCCAGCCAGATTAGGATAAAAATTAAATGACCTTCATCTATAACATATTCATTGATCTTAGGGAAGTTTTTACACTAAAGCACACAGTATCTCTCAGTTCCTTATATAGCGTTGTTTGGAGACTTCCAGTGATTCATTGTCTTGCTTTTTGATTAAGTTTCTGTGCTTCTAGATTTTTACTGTTTTCAATGAACAGTCGCTCAGTTTTATATAACCAGATCTCTAGGCCAGGCTTGAAGGGATTATTAGAATACTTAAACAAATTAAAATTATATTTCTGTCATTTTTTCTATTGAATTAAAATGTTACCCTTAAAAATCATAGTTTCCCTATTTGAAATTTGAAAATGAAATAAATTACCTTCTTCCATTTGTTATGTAAGAGAACTTGAAATAGTACATCTTATCTGTGTTTTCTTTTTTAATTTCTTACTAATATTCAAACATTTCATCCTCCTCTAAATCACCATGGCCAGCAGTTGAGTGTGGAGTGCAGTGTGACTCTGACAGTTTGACCCTTTACCAGCTTTGTGGTCTGTTTATAAACTAAACAACTGTGCAGGCTCAAGTTAGGGGACAGTAATTGTATCCATGCTTCAGAATCAGTTGCCCACTACTTTTCAAAGATATATTAGTAATTTAAAATATGCTTAAAATAGGTTGAAATTTTAAAGATATACTTGCATTTTATATGAATTTTTATATCAGAGAGATTCTGATATCTTGATATTATATTTACCATTATACCATTATGTGAAGCTATGATGGCAGGCATATAAAAGAATATATATTTGCAACCTGATCTGAAGGGTGTACAGCCAGGTTGAGTTATTCGTTAGCCATATAACCAGAGATAAATGCTACCATCCTGACTTAAAAATAAAAATACTTCCATTATTTTACATATATATCAGCATGTACATGAAAAATGACCCTATGATATCTCTATTTCTGCCAAACCCCTTAGTCAGAAAGGTAGAAAATAAAGATTTTTTACGGGGAAAATAAATCTATACCCCAAAAGCCACACAGGGACCAAAACAAGTAAGAACTGTGGAGTCTGGAAAACTCTGGGAGTCCAGACCCAGCCTAAGGGGACTAGTTACTGTTTAGATTGCCTGGTAGGTGGTACCAAGGCCTCCTGATGGCCCATGTCCATCATGTTGCGTTTGTGAATGGGGCTGGTTGGTTCTCTGCTTCGTAGGGCTGACCAGACAAAGCTGCGTAGACAAATACAGAACAGATTGCTATGGACAGTGGCTTTATTCAAATTTGGGGACATTTGTGTATTTACACACAAAACGAAAAATACTGGCAATTTTACTTGCTGAAATCTTGCTAGAACTAAAGAAAGTTGATCTTACCATAGATTCATATACAGTCACATGTGTACTATCTTGGAGAAAATAGTCTTATTTCCCAAAGTCTAGGTTATACATATAAAATAGAATTACATATAAGTGAAGCAGTCTCCTAATCACGGCATAATAATTAAGAAGATACACTATCATTTTCACAGCTGGGTTTTTTAGAGCCCTGTGGTTTTGTTGCTTCTCAGTAACTGTAGATAGGTGTGAGTCTGTCTCATTCGAATTGCAGCAAAGCACAGTTTGCTAAGTCCATAGAACCATCGACTACATACGTGGTAATTAGTTTGTTGACAAAGGATCAGGGATCTGTGTCGTGCCAGTCAGCTAGCAAGGACAAATACGCACCTATTTAAGAACAGACATGAACTTACATAGCGTCCATCCACCTAATCCACCGTTCACGATTATATCCACCCAATCCACCGTTCACGATTATCTCCACCCATGTGTCTGTCTATCCAGTTATCATTCTCTCTTTAGCTCTCCGACCTCCCTTTCTCTGCGTCCATCTTGCCTTCTATTCAGTCAACACATATTGATTATATGCCGTGCGGTATGCTAGTATTTACACTAGAGATTCCAAACTCCTGACTGCAGGGGGCAATGTAGTATCCAGAAATAGTTAGGGCACATGCTTTCCAGCCTTCCAGCCCCACAGCCCTCCTATTTATTTTCCACGTTTCGTTCCCAACAGCCACCATTGGTTGAGTAATGACTCCTTGCTGTGCTTGCCAAACAATACAGACCTATTTTCTCCTTTTTTCTCAGACTCAAAGTCTGACTTGAATTTTCTATGTTACCAGTGAGTAATATGAGACCTAGTGAAGTCCAGCAATTTATCACCATATTACATGGCTCTCAGAAGAATTTCTCAATAGCTGTGTGTTAGCTATATAGTTACCTTAAAAAGAATTTCAGGAAACAGAACCAGCTTCACCAATCACTGAACTTCATACCCGTTTCAAACCCTCTACCTAGTATATATAAATATTAAATTAAGTTCAGTATTGTTTATTTGTTTCAATTTTAAATACACATTAAAATTTTTTTATTTTACCTTTACTCTTCAAAACTAAGCAGAATAATGACACAGTCCAGGAATAATGTAAGGGGCCATTTATATAACAAAATGAATTTTAACCCTTTGATATGTTAGAAAAAATATTTTCATTGTTTTTGATTTTATTTTTTAGCCTAGAATGTAAATCTAGGGCCATTTTAATTTTTACTGGATCCCGAGAGAACTTTGAGGCCCTCCGCTGGCAGCTTCCTCCCTCTGTCCCCTACCCTCTACAGCCCAGATTCTCAAGTGTTCTGTTCCCATTCAATCTCTGCCTCTCACTGTAAGCATTACCTAATTAGAAGACCTTAGGTAGACATCTTCTCCAGGGGTCCTATGCCACCTAGACAATAAGAATCCTTGACTGAGCTCCTGAGTTCAGTAGACCTGCCTTAAGAGTATGTCAGCTCCAAGGAAAGAATGTGCCATGGGCTAACAATTCATGGCTCCAAAGATTTCTGTGTCCTCCCTCTTGAGTTTTCCATTATGTTTTTGTCTTCCACTGAAGCACCTATCACTTTTTTTTCTCCCTAGCATGTTTCTCTCAAGCAATATTAGTGAACAGCTTTTAAAAGAGCTAAACTCATTAACACAATTTTTTGTTGGCTCATATTGAGCTTATACCTGATATAAAGAAATGGCCAGGAAACTCTCTTAGATGGTGGTGTAGATGTTTGGGCCAGAGGCAGGAAGATGAGACCATTTTTATAGAATAGATGCCACAAAAATCTCTAGTCTGCCACTTTTATTATAATCAATTTAAGTATAAATATTTATAGTTTTATTTATGCTAAAAAGATTTATAAATAATGAAAAATAAGGAAGCTATTACATACTTGAATATCAAGTTTGACAATTTAAATGACTGCAAGTTTTTAATAAATAATATTTTTTAATTTTAGAATACCACAAATTACCTTTGTACTCCTTACTATAAACTTAAATAAGTAAATATAGAAATTCCAATCAGATCTCTGGTTTTAACATTGTCTCTCTTCTTTTTATTTCTTTCTCCTTGATGTCTTTGTGACTATACCTGTATTTCACTTACAAATTGTCATCCCGACCTTTATGTCCACATTTTAACTTAAAAAGTAATGTGATTACAGTGACACATTTCTCAGAACCACACCATTCTGCTGCGCAAATGTCTTTGTAGGGGAAATTGGGAATTGACAAATTCTTAAATTCTGCCTTATGCTGAAAACTGAGGGAAAATTTAAATTGCCTCTTTGTGCATCGCTATGAGTAAATCAACCAATTGGAAGTAAAGATGTTTACTATGGTCATTTCAAAAATGGTTTTTGGTTATGGTAAGAGGGTCCTACAGCACTGTCTTCATACTTGTGAGTTTCTGCACCCCAGCTAGTATCTTCATCGCTGCCTTGTGTTTATTTGCTATGAATCCCTCTTGAAGCTGTGTGCATTGGTTACATTGATAATGAGGATGATAACCCAAAGAAAAATTCAATTATTAAAAAGCTAAATGCTTTAGTGAGGTGTGTGAGGTCAGCTCACTTCCAGTGCGTGCAGGCTCAATTACGCATGAACTACTGTAGGCAAACTGTAGCATAATACTAAATTTAAAACCTGTAACGTGGATAATATTTTAAACTGGTTTTCACGTCCCTTAAGTAGCCTACATACTCCTTCATTTACCTTTGTCCATTTTCTTTCCCAATCCTCCTGCCTGTAGGGTAGTATCTTCACAAAATCTTGACCCAGTATTAAGTCTTGCTTGCTCTGTTGTCTTTAAATATATTCTTTGTTATTGGTCTGTTTCGTTGTTCTTGTTGCTCAAATGTCTTAAATAATGCCTCCCTAGAGACTATTAGTTGCTTCCCTAGATCCCTTACTCGCTTTAACCGGGCGTCAGTGGCCCTTGTCTAATTGCGGTCATGGATGTATTGCAGATGTAACAGCAATGCCAGTTGAGTAATCCTCTTTTCAGTTATGTTTCTCAATGGCAGTTTGTTGTGTAAAACCATTTCTGACAAGACTCAGTTGGCAGATATTTTTCTAACAAATGTTCATCCCAGATGCTACTCGTAGTTAAACAGGATGTGCCAAGATTCAGAGATTTAGATAGAAATGTAAAACCATTTTAGATTTTAAACCTTAAGGAGTCGAAAATAGTCTTGTAGAAAGAACAGTAGTTCTCCATATGCGACTGTGGCCTGTACTTGATAAAAATAGATAGAGCTTCAATATTTGTATGTCAGGAGGCAACAGGAACTATGAACGTGGCATTATATTCAGTTCTTACAGTCACACCTCTGTGGATATCAGGGCTTAAGGCCCTGCAGGTGATGTGGGCATCCTCATTATCTTGCACTCAGGTTTTTCACTGAAGTCTAATTAGCAAATTCTTGCCTGTGAGATTTTGTAAACTTTGGCGAATCTAAGAAGCCTTAAAGGTCTAAGCGAGCAGTGGAAGTCCCTCTCTTTTGCCAGATTCCTACAGGGAAACTGGTTTGAGATTCCAAAAAATTATGCTCCCCCACAATGCTTTTTTCTTCCTTTGAATTCTACACTAAAGAAGTGAAGAGTTTTCCCTTTTTGCATACTGTTTTTTTTATTGCTTGCTATCCCTCTGAATAAAGTTTCTGTCTGGGTGGTCACATCCTCGTTGTGTCTGTATGGTTGCTGCTACAGTGAACAGAGAAGCAAAGCCCCAGAGTTTAAATTAGTTTCCGCTTCATGAGATTGTCCAGTCAGTTTCGTGCATTGGGGTATTTAGCATTTTAATAATGAACACTATTTCTAATTACTCAGGGTGTTTAGTCTTAAAAAAAATGCATGTGTCAGATTTGGAAGTAGCAAAGCAATGATAAGAGCTGGCAGCTGGATTAAAGCAAAACATTACAGAATTTCTTCTAAATGAATTAAATAGGTTTAAATTTTCTTGAAAGTGCTCTATTTAGAAGCAGCAGTTCAGAGAAAGCAAGTATACCAGCACACAGTGAAATTGGCTCTTACTCCTCACGCGGGGCTAGTTCTAACTGACCACTGTGCTACTGTATGGTTTGATTGTGCTCACAGTTACATGCCACTGTTCCCGTAATAACAAGTTTTCTTCTTTGTTCAAATGAATTTCCTAATTACACGTGTGATGGGATGTTTTAATTCTTTTCCCTTTTCAAATCCACCTTCCTGTTGCAATGCATGATGGGCAGGCTCAATATTGTGCATGACACCCGCTACAAGTGTTGGTAGGTGCCAGCTTTGTTTCTTGATTATCTTAAACCTACATTGCATCTCACAGCCCCTCAAAATCCACTGCTAAGTTTAACGTGTATCTATTGGGCAAGTCCATTTCCTTTTTTACTAACACCTGTCAATTAAATGCCGATTTCTATTTAATTGACATGCACCCCCCCACATAAATGTTTTCTTTCCACACAAGTTTCCTTAATCACTTAATTATTAGTGGATTTTGATTGGACTATGAGTTCTGGTATATAAAAACAAGTCTCATAAAAGTAATGACTGTATATTTTTATAGTAGTGAATAATAAAAAAGAACTTTTATTCAAATGGATAACTGTACATACAAAGTAAATACCTGTATTTTATTTATATTTTAATGTCTTTGAACACTATATAAAATTCTTGTTTTTTAACTTAGCAAATTAAGCCTGTTTGTATCAATTTTCTTGATTTAATGGTAACAAGCTTTTTTTCCCCCCCTCTTTTTTTTTTCTCTTTCATCCCTCCCTCCCCTTCTCTCCTTGGAATGTTGTCCTGCTTTGCGCTGTGATTGCATGTCACTCGCTGGTGATGATGTTCTGTCACATGGCTTCTTGCTATGATAAATACCATTGCCCAATGATCTCCTCCATGTTGCCATGGTTTCCATATTGCTACACTCTTCTGTATGTTTGCTTATATGATTTTCCCTCCGAAAGTTCCCATGGTGCACGGTGCTACGCCAGCCACTGTGTCCGCAGCAACAACATCTGCCACAAGTGTTCCCTTCGCTGCAACAGCCACAGCCAACCAGGTTTGCTAATTTACAGCTTTGTTTCTTAAAAACCAACTCTTAATAGGGCCAAGTCCAGCAGCCTTAACGCACATGGATCTCCCATTGTGCTCAGTGGGAGTCGCGTGTGTGTGAGAGCTGTAGAGGGTGCCGTCATAAGCATGGGGTTCAAAGATACCTCTTGTTGGCCTACACATTCTCTCTATGACAAGCAGCCGATTGCTTTTATGCCATTTATAAGTGCTCCAAAGTGTCGCAGCTCTGTTTCTGAAGCTACTAAACTGATATTTACACAAGCAATTCTCATTTTTCTCAACCAATTGTCTAAGTATTTTGGCCACCCAATGTGGGAGCAATTATGAGGTTAATATTAAAGCATCTGGTATATACTTTCTCAGCTCGTTCCTAAATTCTTAATAAAAAAAGGGAAAATAATTTAATGTATTCCTATGCCACAAATGACCACTCTTGTAAATAGAGTTTTGATATATAATTTTTATAGCTTAATTTTGATAAGCAGATTGCTTATTAAAATGAATTGCTTTTATGCAGCGTCTCTCAGCCTTGATTCTAGCTGCTTTAAGTGGAAAAGGAAATTAAGTACTCTCTCGCTTCCACAGTTAACCTGCATAAATATGGGACATTTAGGGAGGAAGAAAAAAAATAACGAATGATAAATAAATTATGAAAGCACAGTTTAGTAGGGATGGCGGTGCATGAAAGCCACTAAACCGGGTTATGCCTGTTTCACTGGCAGAAGTTAGATGGAGCCTGGTGAGACTGAAAAGAGCCTTGTCAGATGGGATCTAGCATAGTGTCCTTGGAACAGGCAGACAAACTAAGAACCAAAAGTTACTGCTATGAGGAGCATCTGCTTTCTTTTTGTTTTGTTTTTTTTTTTCTTTTGTTTTTTCAATATATCATCTTCTGTTGATGAGCTTTGAGCTATTAATATAGTCATTAAAACCTTTCAAGATCATAATGCCAAAAGGATTTAATTTTAAGTTTCAGACAAGCCTTAAATAATTCTCGGCTAAGAATCATTAGTTTTTCAGACTTATCAAAAATACCCTTGGATTTATACTAACACAGAAGACTCATTTACAAGAATGCTAGATTGTGCATATGTGGCATGATGGTTTGACCGAAATCTCAGTAGATGCAGTGCAGTCCATTTATGGTGCACATCAATGATGCTGGAATCTCCTGTGTATTCCATATATGACTATAGAATTGCTGGTGTAAGCACAACTATAGCAAAGCAAATTCAAAATGCCCTTGGCCACTTGGGTTGTAGGGGACACTTTACTTTTTGCATTGTGCTGTGACCATTTCATGCATAATTCCCTGGGTCTTCATACTATTACTATTCTACAACCAAAGGAAAGGGAATGGATATATATATACACACATATATTATATCTACATATACATACATATGTATATGCCTACAGTACATTAGCAATGCTGGGAATAGCTGATGCCACAAAATGCAGCCTGCATGCATGCAGAAGTTTATAGCTGGCCCTTCATCTGCATCGAGTGGTGTTGAAGGTCCTTGGTATGTTTCAACAGCCCCATCCTTGATGCTTCTACACTGTTGGGTGCAACATCCTGCCCTGCAGCAGCAGGAACAATGGTATGAGAAGCTTCATTATGCTTGGAGCACATTTTCGTGCCATTTGCCAATGCTGTAAAATTGTGTAAAAATGTCAGCTAAGAAATTAAAACTAAAAGGAACATAGTAATAGATACTCCAAACTGTGAATTATAGGTTTTAGAAGATTGACATAGTCTAGGATATTTAAAATGAAAACAACAAAAGCCTTCATGTATGTGAGACCATTGTTACCCCAACTAACTTTCTGAAGTGGATTTAGTGTCATTGTATAGAGTAAGTTGAAATAGTCACCAGTTAGTTGCTTTGCTCAGGTTCACACAACCAGGAAACAAATAAGTGTTAGAACCAATGTTTTCAGGCCTCGGCTACACTCAACCTGTGGAGTTGCCTTGCCCACATTATCAACCTTTAATTTGGGGTTGAAGAAGAATCAAGTCACGTGTTTGATTTCGCATGGAAAAAAGTAACCTCTGTATTGTATTTTCTCTGAAGTTCTCCGAGTCCCTGCCTATTTAAAATGCAACGGCTTGTGTAGCTGAGGTTCCGAAGTCAGCTCATGAACAAACCTGTTCTCTTTCCCACTTATTTTTTGAACCACGTTTTTATAATTCACACCTGGTATATTTAATTTGGGTCAAAAGTTAAACACTTTGATCTGAATGAAAATGTTAGAAATTTGGTTGCACAAACTCAGGCAAGACATTTTTTTTCTTTAATTCTTGATTTCAGTATCATTGCTAAGTATTTGAAACCACAAGGGTGTGTGTGTGCGTGTGTGTGTAGGCCAACAAAAAGGGCTTCTTTTAATAACTGCTCTGCATGAATTTTTGGTAGCTGTACTTCTCTTACTTTCTAAGTACTGGTAACATCCGTAGAGTAGTACTTAATGCGAAGATTACAAGCAGTGAGGTGCTTCTCTGGCATTTGCGTTTATATTAACTTTATGTCATGTTGACCCAATGAGGGCTGTCACCTCACAGCTGAATCTCACTGTTTTGTATAAATTTAATATTAAGATGTTTTCATCTCTCGGTGGTTGGCTTGCTTGCATGGATCATTCATTAAACAATTTTTTATTTGCTAGATACCCATAATATCTGCCGAACATCTGACTAGCCACAAGTATGTTACCCAGATGTAGAGTTGTCGTCACAAAACAGTAAGTTTATTACGCAGAATAATCATTCAGTATTTGTGGTTGGGATATGTTAATACTTAAAATGCAAAGAATAGATATTTGGGGGTATTTTAATTGATATCACAAATAAGTACAAGCATGAATAAAATACGGCAAAGGTACTTAGAAGACAAAATCATGAGTTAGCATTTGATGAAATTTTCTGCAAGGCCTACAGACCAGCTATTTTTGTCTGTATGCAGCATTCAGCTTCTGCTGCAATTCCCCCACTGTAGTGCGAAAACACTTAGAGAATGCAGAAATAAGTAGATGTGGACTGTACCTCAAGAAAACTCTTCAAATTAGACAGTGAACTAGATTTGGCTCGTAGGCAGTCATTTGGTGACTGCGTAGAAGTCATTAATTTTATTTTAACTATTATTTCACTCATTCCTATATGATAATACATACCCACCTGTATCATGTAACACTGAGTACAGGATCAGTAGGGAACAATGGATCTAAGTCAAATAACTTTATATACATATATGTATATAGACAAATATATACATACATACATGTACAGATATTTGTTAAATAGTATTGCAAGACAGCTAGCTTAGTGATACAGGATTCTGAAGATGTTATTGTTCCTCACAAGGGTTTGGCATCTTGTGTTTGCTTTCTGTGACATTGTTTTCAATACCTGCAAAATTTGCTATTTTTTCTCCCTAAAGTACATGTTTCTTCAACATATACAACTTAAATTAGATCATGTCCACAGAAGCATGACAGGTACTTATATTTGTAAATTTGCAAAGAGCCATTTAAAACTCAGTCTGGTCAGTAGAAGGTTCTTTTGTTGCTTTCCTGCATTTATTTGGTCGCTGACATATTGGCAAGTAAGGTTTTATACTGCTTTTCTGTAAGTTACCCCATCAATGATGTAAATGATTTCAGAACTGTGTGCTAGCACAAGAGAACTTTGAACGAGTGTCCTGTGAGGCAGAGGTCCAGGGCTCCTCTTCTCAATGGTCAGAGAAGGCTTTTGGACAGTGAAGGTCTTTTGTGGAAGGGAGAGTAAGGACATGGCAGAAGGGACAGAATCAGGTCTTCATGGTGCTTAGAAAACCAGGCGAGAAGAACCCACACCAAGAGCCAGACGCAGATAGATCACAGACTAGAGAGAACGGTGGGCAGAGTATGAGTTCCCTTTAAGGAAGAAATGAACTGAGACTTTGAGGAGCCTGCCAAAGATGCGTTGCAGTCAAGTTATTTAAGTTGATTTTTCTCCATTTTGTAAGGTCTCTCAAAGCAGTTCTGTCCAGGTATGGTGGTACATACCTTTAATCCCAGCACTGGGCACTCAAAAAATGTGTGAGTTTCTATGTGCTCAAGGCTGGTCTATATAATGAGCTCCAGGCTCAGAAGGATACTCAGTGAGACCCTG